AGCTGTAACTATAATAATAGCAACTAAGCCAAATACATGCGCCAGCAAGATGTTAGTAATAAAGGGCAGTGAATCATCGATCGTATATGTATCGGATGAAAATCTATTTATAATCCTACCGAATGATTGAATATCGAAAAATGTTGTTTTTGCCTGAAATAATTTTAATAAAAATATATAATATAGTAAAATACTGATATCAAAAATAGCGAATTATTCTATATCTCTAGCTCATATTTACCCGTATAATTATCTTCAAGAGCTGTTTATGCATTGTTATGGCTGCTTGCAAGCCACCATATGCAAAAATAAAAGCTCTAATTAAAGTGAAAATAGAGTTAAATACAGCTAGTAAGCTATAAACTGTTAAGTAGTATTTAGTATCGTGCAAACTATAATTATCGTAATAGAATTGCAATTTTTCAAGTCGAGATATGTTGGTTGAATTGATCGTTGTAGTATTAGAGTGAGTCACCCAATAAGATAACCATAAATCCGTAACATTTTTTGAACTTTGCATTAGAATCATAGAGAGAAATATTGAAATTGCCAAGTATTGTCCTACAGCTTTAAGATAGCACGTATACACTGAGAAGTGTACTGTTCCTTTTTCAGTAGTTTCTTTTTCAAGTAATGGATCCATCTCATTCTTTTCTGATTGATTAAATTCCTTGGGTGTCATCTTTATAGACGCAATATCTAAATCAGATTCGATGGACTCCGATAAAAGATAATCTTCCAGATCGGGTAAAATGTCGCTCGGTTTCCCTTGATTAATAATTTTTCCCTTCGACATTTCGATAACTAAATCAGCGTTGATCAAGTATTGAATCTGATGCGTGCACAATATCCTGGTTTTATTTCGTAACAAGCCTAGAATTACGTGTTGAAATACGTGCTTAGCAACTTTGACATCCAACGTCGCTAATATATCGTCTAGCAGATAAATGTCTTTATCCGCATATATAGCACGAGCCAGGGAAATTCTCGTCTTTTGGCCACCGCTCAAAGTATTTCCGGCTTCACCAACCGCTGTTAGGTCCTTGTTAGGCAATGAATTCAAATCGGATGTGAGAGCGCAAGCCTTCAAAATATTCCTATTGTAATCGCAAAAATAAAATGAAATTTAAATTAATATGCTATATAAAAAATATAAAAATTTATCATTATTGTAAATTTCAAGAAACTTGATATCTACTTGTATTTGTTATGATCGTAGGATTTTCCAAAAAGAACATTATCCCGGATTGTACCTCGTTGTAGCCAAGGATTTTGTTTTACATATCCAAAACCTCTGTGATCATCGTTAACTGCTATTATCCCTTTAGTTTTTGTTATCTCCGCTAAGATACCGTCTAGGAGTAAAGATTTTCCGCTTCCAACTTTGCCCATGATACCGATTAATTGTCCCTGGGTAAAAAAAATATATATATTTTACATACAGTCAGAACTTTGTAAAGTTTATTCTTACCTTCTGTACAGATAAATTAATATTATGTAAAGTAAAGACATCGTCATCTTCGAAGGTAACACTTTTCTTAACATCAGTACTCGAGGATGGAGCGATTATAGCTTTTGGACTTGCGTTAATAGTATCACTTTTCGGACGATTCACAGTTAATGTTACATTTTGCAACAATAAATCAACATCAGGAGTAATATCTGTATAATACAATGACGCATCCATGTCTGGTAGCTAAATTAATAAAATAAATATTAATAAAATAGAAACTAAATATCTAATAATAATTTGTTGCACTCTATTATAATTTCAAAGCATATTTAAATTTCAAACACATACGTACATCTAGCATTCTTTGAATTCTCTTAAGAGATACCCATGCTTCTGTAAGACCGTTTAAAACCCACGGAAATGCATTTAAAGGTCCTATTAACATGTTCAACAATGCCATACTAGTAAAAACTGTTTTGGCATCTAATTCGTTTCCAAGCAATACGTATGTTCCGAATGTTAATATCGCGATAATAACAGGTGTAGTTGCCCAGAAGTAAACGCAAAGAGCATCTAAATATTTTCTACCTCGTAAATATTTCACTTCACTCTCTCTTAGCTCTGCAAAAAAAATATATTTTAGATAAAGATTCTAAAGCATCAGAAATTATTTTCTTCAAATCATCTATATAAAAATATACTAACTGAAAATATTTCGTAAAAAGTGCTCTTCCCACACGTTGACCTTGATTGTAGTTATCCCACGCAATATTTCTCCCATTAGCCTTACTCTTTGATCTTTATATTCCATCAATTTGGTGCTAAGCTTACCAATCTTATTCGCTATGACCTTATTAATTGGTATAAGTATTATCGAAAATGCAACACCTGCTAAAAACGACACTCCAATTTGCTTATGTAGAAGATACAGAGTGATGAATAACTGAAAATATAAACATTTTTAAGAATAAAGAAAATTTAAAGATGTAAGATATAAAGAATATAATCTCTCTTTCTCTCTTTTAATACATATAGAAAAAAGAAAAATTAGATTTATATTATTATTATATCATGCAATTACCTGTAATGGTATACTCCAAAATGTATGGAAACTAGGACAGCTATTGACCAATCTGTCGCTATCGGTGCTCATAAAATTAACGATTTCCCCAAAATTAAAATTGTGATTTAAATCAATATTAGAAGAATGCAATGTTTTCTGGTAGACTAAAGTAATAATTGCAGAACGAATTTTCAAACCCACAACAGACATCCAGAATGTAAAGTGAGTATTACAAAAGGCACCTATAAACATTATTTTGTCATATATAATTCATGTAACAAAATATATTTAAAATATATTGTAATTAAATTTGCATAATTTACCAATTATAGCACTGAGTATTATTAAAGATGCATATATATATCCATATGAGATTGGCTCATTTTTATCTTCAATAAAGCCTATCAATCTATTTAACAATATTGGTCCTACAAATGAACTACAATCTGCGATAAATCTCAATATTCCAACCGCGTAAAATTCCCAGCCGAAACATTTGTGCAGCAAGTAAAACAATGTTACTTTCTTTGTAATTACTTTTACATTCGTCTGAAGTGGTATTTCCGAATTATTTTCGATTCTGTTGTTCGTCGTTTTCGGCTGTAATATATCAATAATATTATTATTTTTATTATTACTAAAAACTAAGTATGAAATAATTATCATGTATGCTTAAAATATTAAAAAAAAGTTAAATAAATTGTGGATTGTTATGCATTTTTGCTTACCATATTATTTAAGCATTTGTCAATATCGTGACTAATTGTATTGGTGCTAATTTGATCAGGTAAATCAAATAAGTCGTCAGAATGATTTAACAGCTCCTTAACGCCTTTTTCCATTAATGGTGTTACCCAATGGAAGAGGAGTTTAGAAATAATAGTTACATTTTCCATAGCAATTCCAAGGTAACTTGGGTCTTGTTCCTCTGGAAATTGTACGTATGAGGAAGTAGGACTACTCAGTAATGGAGTATGTTCTCCTATCTACAAACACATAAATATGTTACATAAAACTTTGTTTACTAATAATCCAGCAATTTTAAATAACACATGAGCAATTAAATAATATTCCATACAATTTGAATATGTTCGGAAAATCATAATAGATCCAAAAATAAAGATCGACGAAACGCAAGATGATCTTGCATGTGATAGCGACTTACCGTGACATTTCGAGATGATGCCCCCGTGCGCTCTGGCCTACTGGAACCCGGTATCAATGTTATTGTATACAATATCAGAAGAGAAATTACGCTGATACTGAAACCTAATGATAAGTTTGGCAAAACATCATCTTTGGGCGTCTTATTGATGTGACTACGTAATAGTAGCACAGAAATAACAATTAAAAGAAATATCAATGCTCGTATTAATACCGGTCCTCGGGGATTGGGATTACGTCCACGTTTCAAGCTTAAAATAAAACAAAGATGCATAACCCATGCTAAACCTTCTGTACTTGCTACAAGATAATCCACTGGTTTAGCAGAAGTAAATTTATCAGCAACTCTTAATATTGTCTCATAACTATTGGTATAAGGTTCGACAGGAGTTGCAGTAGTATCTTTAATACTACTCTCTGGTGACAGAATTGATTTAGCAAATCTAATAGTGCGATTTAATCCATCATGTATCCTGCTTATAATGTCTGTTCCATCTAAAGATGGATTTATATTCCTATAAATGTAAACATCTGAGCTTCTTGATACTGGTGTGCTGTATTTTTGCACTTCATTATGCACCAAAGGGATAGTAGTATTAGTCAAAATAATATATGCCCTTATGATAGGCAATATCACAAGACATATAGTGATAAAAATTCTTATGTTTATAGCATGGTAAGTGCGTTGCTGTCGGACTGATGATATATTTGTTTTGCCACAATAATATGCAGAAATTATAGCTATAAGAGCTAATACTGGTATCTGAAAGATTTAGAAATAAATTTGATTAAAAAATTCTATTAATTTATGTTTCAAATTTAATGCAAAATACAATTTATTATATTACCTGAAGACACAGCTGTTGGAAACATACACCCAAATCATGTGTTTCGGGATTCAAAGGAATAATATTTCTATCATATCCACATAATTCTGTCCAGTTCCATTTCCATCTCTCTACGTCATCCAACCAATTCTCTGCCATGCTGAGAATTATAATTAAAATTAATTAACAATTAACTTTTTTTATTTTTAACAGGTTAAACAAATATTTGTAGGAATGTAGTATATATAGTAATGAAAAATATTTATACACCAAATATATAAAGCATGTGCAAAGTTGTGACAGAAGTATTATTATTATACGCATATATTTTCAAAAATATAAAAAAATTCCTTAAAAATAAATCAAAGAAAGCAAAGAATATTTGAATAAAATATGTATATATAATGTATCATTATTTGTTAATTTATTTAAAAATATTCTAATTTTTTAATTTTTATATCACTTCTACCTACAAATGAGCTCAACAATAGTGTTTCATCAAATCGCACAGTTGATAGATCAGATAATGTTACACAAAAATTAAAATTTGCGAGATTAAAAACTGCAAAATGATACCATCAGGCGATTGATGTGATTGATAATTAATTATAGACAGATAAGGTGTGGTAATGAGACATATGAGCAAACAAACAACGTAAATTGGCATATTGAGCAAATGTTTACCTGTCGATCGAAAGATTGTCATAAATACTGAAAGCACGGAATATTAATAAGCACTATAACATTTATTGCGGCTTCTCATTTGTATTATATTTTTTTGTCGTGCTCTCATATCGACGAACATTTACAGGTTAAGTTCCCCATGACGCATAGTGACTTTAGTGACGCAAACTTCGGAATTTCGGATAACGTTTGATTGTCCGGTGAAGTATTGTCTTCTGCGCGATTACACACATACATAAGGATCGAATATTATGATTTTTATCTCATTATATCTCAAGGGACAGCAACAATCAAATGCAAGCGTAATCTCACGAGAAATAACGAAGCAAATGTGATATATCAATAATAGATACACACATTTTTTTGTGTGTAGAGGTACTAGAACTCTTTTTATTATAGTATTTTTATTTTTTAATATTGTATTATATTTATTATTATATTTATATTATTATAGTATTTTATTATAATATTTATTATATATATTTATTATTATTATTATAGTATTTTATTATAGTATTTTTACTTTTTTATTATAGTAAGAATATAAATCCAACTGATAAGGCATTTAAATCGATTTCCCGAATATAATTTGACTTACTGATGAAGGAGATCGAAGAATCTCAAACTCAGAAGGAAAATATGACTCTGGAAATGAAAGAGGATATTCCATATAAGAGTGAGAATGAGGATGCTAACAAAAAACGCCAGAGCATAGACTTTCCTATGGCAGATGTAAAATATGATAGTTTTGAGGAGATACTAAATCATGTGGCCAACAGCAAAGCAATTTTCAAGAGTCAGCAGAAGGAAGAACCTGAGTTAACGTATGAGGAGAAACATGCCATAGCTGAGAAGCTGTTGAAAAAGAGTCACTGCTTGTTCCTATCCAAATTTGGACATTATTTGAAAGTGGAACATTTAGAATATTTTAGTAAAAGCGAGGATTACGAGACGATTTATCATATAAGCAGATTACGGAGATATTTCAATAATTCTACAAGACGTATCGATGTCAGGAACAAAAGGTACGAAGCTCTGAAGACATTAATAGAGAAAGGGGAATATTTCAGCGAATGTGAAATGATGAAGAGGAATCCGTTATTGTATGAACATTTGGTAGGACAATATTTGACGGAAGAGGAGAAAAAAGCTAGAGATACTATTGATACACGTAGCGCAAATTATGTTGATATACTTATGGAAACTATTGAAAGGAACAAACTGCAGAAGCATCTGGAATCTCAACAACAAGAGGAGGATGAAGTAGAAGAAGAGGATAATTCAGATGATGAGAACAATGATGAAGATGATAATAGCAGAGACAGTACTGTATCCGAAACAAATTTTAATAAACAGATTTCTCACTGGGGTGGAGATTTAAATGAAATGATTGATAAAAACAAAGCTAAAAAATTATCAAGTAGTAAAATACATAAAATATCAAATCAAGAAATACAACTACTTAGGCAAGAATTTGTTACAAATATGTATCAAAGTTTCCTGGATGGTAAAGATAGGGATTTTGATTATAGGTATACTTTTATTATTAATATAAATACAATATATCTTAATAAAAAAATCTCCATAAATATGTTTTTACTTATATTAATATAGATTTATATAATTAAAGAATTTATTAATGATCAAAATAATTTATATATGATTAAACATGTATATTCATGTCTTAGGGCCGATTTTTCCAACTTCTCGGTAAGTTTTACCTGATAGGTAGCATATTTTTGTCTCTTTTCAGATAAGTTCTAAAAAAGAGACAAAGATATGCTACTTGTCGGGTAAAACTTATCAAGAGTTGGAACAACCAGCCCTATATTAAGGGTCGGTTGTTCCAACTCTTGATAAGTTTTACCCGACAAGTAGCATATCTTTGTCTCTTTTTTAGAACTTATCTGAAAAGAGACGAAAATATGCTATCTATCAGGTAAAACTTACCGAGAAGTTGGAAAAATCGGCCCATATAGAATTATGTATATTTATACAAATATCTTATGAAAGATATAAATTAATAGTAACATATATTTGTGTGCATGAAAAAGTTTTTAAAATGAATTTGAATATATAATAAAATAGGTGTATTGTTTTATTTTTTATAACTTAAAATGTTTTAGGTATTTAAAATAATTGTCTTATATATTGTTTTATTTATTTTCAGCACTGTGGATGATAATGAGGCTTATGATAATATAGAATTAAGGACTCAAGACGAAGAAGAAAGGTACTTTGATTCTGAAGCTCCTGAAATGGTTCTTCCACGTAATGAATGCAATGACGAAAATGAATCTGAAGATGAGTTGGATGCATATATGAGAACACTTAAGGTTAAATAATGTTTTACACTTTACGATAGCCTTGCTATTGTTGGCATTGATTCACAGAAAGGTTATTTATTCATTAGGAACAGACTCCTACAAATCCACATTCTTTGGATAATCAAACATAATCCAGCATACATTATATACAATAAATATATTTATATATAATTCTGATTGTATATGTTTCTTATAAGAAATTCTATGCTCCTTTTTCTATCGCATTTTAATTTATAAATAATATCAATATATAAGTATTTAAAAGAGACAAAATATTGAACTGTAATTATAAATTTTAATTTATAAAAAATATCAATAGATATTTAAAAGAGATAAAATATTGAGCTGTAAAATTCTTTTTCGTCGTCGTAAATATTCTTTTTAGTCTATAATTAATTAAATTTATAGACTTTTTAGTCTATAATTAATTACATAGTTTTTAAAAACCATTTATAAAAATGATCAAAGATTTGATTATTGTCAAGTATTTTTATTTGCCATAATAAATTGTTTTAATTTAGTCAATTGCTCCAAATAAAAAAAGTCAGCATTACTTAATTATTTAATTTGTCTGCGTTCAAGTTTAAACGTGTGCTCAATCGATATATATATATGTGCATACATAAATTATGGAAATTATCTATCAAATCCAATCAGAGAGAGAGGATCTCTATAGAATGGGATAGAAGTCTAGCAGAGTTGAACGCGTCTTGTCAAAACGAGCATCGAAAGTGCACGAGGATTAATTGTGTGCTCTTTTCAAGAAAATGGTAAGAATCGTAGTGTTTTGAATGTTCCGCAATGTTGCTCGCAAAAATAAGCATTCTGTTGTAGATTATTCCGTGTGGTGATTGTCGCATGAAAAATTATTAGCTTAGCCTTGTAAAGGTTATGTATCGCAATAAGTTGTCTGAGTTGTTTCGTGGGGACTCTTTTTTTTTAAAGGCAATAACACGTAGAGATAGCATAATTCTTATTTCCATGCAAATTAATCTACTCTATATAAATTTTAAACATATACGTATACATTATTTTTTTATACTCTTATCATTTTATTATATACTCTTTAATTTTGTTACATATATAATACATTGATATATCATTTACATTATTAAAATTATTTTCAAATATATCATTGCTTTTAATATATTTATACATTGTTTTTTTTTACTGCAGGCAAATGTAGTTATATAGATAATATATATTAGTATATTTGATCTATATATATTATGTCAGTATATAATATATGTGTGATATTATATAATATACTAATATTATATTATATATTATATTATATGTGATTTAAGAATTACATTTTGTCTTTCAATACTTTTAATTATGAATAGATCAGTTATTTCTGATGTATCCCCAATATTTAAGGATTCGTAGTGCATGCTTGTATGGCTTACCTAGTGCGGTACTACCTGGTGTTCTCCTGGTAGGTATCTTTATTTTTTTCGCAGCCAATGACACCTGCCATAACAGGAATGGAGGAACAAGAAAAGCTGTTGGAAGATGCTATTGGCGTGGTTAAAGTCCAAGCTTTTCAGATGAAACATTGTTTGGATAAGTCTAAATTGATGGATGCGCTAAAACATGCCTCCACCATGTTAGGAGAACTAAGGACTTCTCTTCTCAGTCCGAAGAGCTACTATGAATTATGTATCCTTATTGATTAATTAATTTCAGTGATTATCTGAATTATAATATTTAATACAAATACTTGGGTATATTTGATATATATAGTATAGATATTTCCTATAACAATTATTATTAGATATGGCAATCACAGATGAGCTGCGGCACTTAGAACTTTATTTATTGGATGAATTTCAAAAAGGAAGAAAAGTTACAGATCTTTATGAATTGGTACAATATGTTGGCAATATTGTGCCTAGACTGTATGTATCTGCTATAAAACTGCATTTTCTGATTGTGAATTGTGAGATAATCTGATTAATATTACAGCTATTTACTCATTACTGTTGGTTTGGTCTACATCAAAACAACTCCTGGCTTGAAAAGAGATCTTTTAAGAGATCTTGTAGAAATGTGCAGAGGTGTGCAACATCCATTACGTGGTTTATTCTTAAGAAATTACTTGTTACAATGTACAAGAAATATTTTACCAGATGTTACCGAAGGCGATGATGAAGATGGGACTGTATGTATTTAATAAATTATAACAGTTTTCTTACATATTATTATTACTAAACTTTATTTTCAGGTTCGTGACAGCATAGATTTTGTTCTGATGAACTTTGCAGAAATGAATAAATTATGGGTACGCATGCAACATCAAGGTCATAGTAGAGATAAAGAGAGAAGAGAGAGAGAAAGGGAAGAACTTAGAATTCTAGTGGGAACAAATCTTGTACGACTTAGCCAATTGGAATCAGTAACACTAGATAAATATAAGAAGGTACATATTTTATACACATACATACATATATACATATATTCTCTTTATTTTTTAAACGAATTTTATCATAAATATATTTTCAGCTTGTACTGCCAGGAATATTGGAACAGGTTGTTAGTTGTAGAGATGCAATAGCCCAGGAATATCTTATGGAGTGTATAATTCAGGTATATTTTTTTATGTCACAAATGTTATTTTATCTTAAAAATAAAGATGAGAAAAATAATGTTTTTTTTTTATACATCTAGGTCTTTCCTGATGAATTCCATTTACAAACGTTAAACGCATTTTTAAAATCTTGTGCGGAATTGCAAAATGGAGTAAATGTTAAGAACATCATTATATCACTAATCGATAGACTTGCAGCCTTTAGTCAGCGGTCTGATGGTGTAGGAGGACCAGGAAGTCCTAATCAAATATCAGGAATTCCACAAGATGTTAAGCTTTTTGACGTATTTAGTGATCAGATTGCTATTATTATACAGGTATCTATAAAATAAAATAAACTTTATTATTAATTATATGAAAATAGCCATTCAATGATGATTAAATACTGTACAAAATTTGATAATTCATGATTTAGAAAACTGAAATTTCCTTACAAATTAGTTTAAGTCTGAGAATGGTTCCAAGATATCTCACTTTAATTACATATATGTACTATATATTTGTATATTAAATATATATATATTTTTTTTATAGACAAGACAAGATATGCCTTCTGAAGATATTGTATCTCTTCAAGTAGCTCTTATAAACTTGGCGCATAAATGCTATCCCGATCGAGTAGATTACGTAGATAAAGTTTTATTCACAACAGTCCAAATATTCCAGAAACAAAATGTCGATAAGTAAGTTTAAGCAGTTTATTATACATGTTTGTTGGCTTTTATAATTTATATATTAAACATTTCTTTTTTCTCAGATTGGAGTATAATAGTGCCGTTTCAAGAGAGCTAGTTAGATTAATGAAAATTCCTGTAGATAATTATAAGAATATATTAACGGTGCTTAAACTTGAGCATTATGCACCTCTCTTGGATTATTTCGATTATGAGGGCAGAAAATCTCTAGCTATATACATAATAACAAATATTTTGGAAAACGAAACATTGATACCATTGCAAGAACAAGTGGATGCGGTGCTCTCTATGGTATCTCCTTTGGTACAAGATCAACCAGATCAACCAAATATAGAGGAAGATCCTGAAGATTTCGCCGAGGAACAAGGTCTGCTTGGCAGATTGATACATCATTTTAAATCAGAAACACCGGATCAGCAATATATGATACTAAGCGCTGCAAGGAAACATTTCAGTGGTGGTGGTAACAAAAGAATCAAATACACTCTGCCGCCTATAATCTTCCAAAGTTATCAATTGGCCTTTACATACAAATCATTGAAAGATCAGGTTTGTGTATTTAGTAATTTGTATACTTAGATAAAATCATTGAATTATATGATGTTAATTGATGTTCTCTTGTTTTCTCAGGACGAAATGTGGCAAAAGAAATGTCAAAAAATTTTTCAATTCTGTCACACGACTATCACGGCACTGATGAAGGCCGAATTGGCCGAACTACCTTTAAGGCTATTTCTGCAAGGTGCAATAGCGATCGGCGAAATCCGCTTTGATAATTTTGAAATGGTCGCTTATGAATTTATGAGTCAAGCATTCTCGATATATGAGGACGAAATAAGTGATTCAAAGGCACAGCTCGCGGCAATTACTTTGATCATTGCTACGTTTGAACAAATGAGCTGTTTTGGCGAGGAAAATGCAGAGCCTGTGCGTAATCAGTGTGCTTTATATGCTAGTAAGTTATTGAGGAAGCCTGATCAATGTAGAGGAGTCGCTACTTGTTCACATATATTTTGGTCGGGAAAATCTCTAGCTACGGGCGGAAAAGAGGTAAATATAAATATACAACGATCTTTATTCTTGATTATTTGAGAGATAAATTACATTAAAAAATACAAATTTAAAAAGATGCAAGAAGGCGGTAAAGTGTTGGACTGTTTGAAGAAAGGTATTAGAATAGCAAGCCAATGTATGGACACATCAGTACAAGTGCAATTGTATGTGGAACTGTTGAATCATTACATTTACTTCTACGAGAAAGGAAATACAGCTGTAAGAAGAGTTTCAATCACATATAACAGCGTTTACTTATTTTTTTCTGTGAATTGCTCTTTCTAATTTGATTATTTTTTTAGGTGACCGTGCAAATATTGAATCAAGTGATTGCAAAAATTAGAGAGGAGCTTCCTAATCTGGAAGCGAGTGAGGAAACTGATCAAATACAAAAGCATTTAGCAAACACATTGGAACATTTAAGAAATAGGATGGAATCGGCGGACTCTGACGGACTTTCTTATCAAGGCCTTGTGCTTTAATTGCATAAGATGAATCGGCATTGTAATTTTGTAAATAAAAGACTTCTAGAATATGTACGGAGGACAATATGGATCGATAGCACCAACAAACATTTATCTTGATTTAACATTGGTCTTAATTTTCATTCTTTATTACAAGAATAAATTATATAGTAAGTATTCATTTATTCGAAATTAATTAACTGTGATCATTAAAACTCAGATCTCTCAATAGTTGTACAATTATTTCTTAATTGAATAGGCGTTTATATTAATTTGCTTATATACAAAATGATTTGTTAATTATATGTATCACATACATATATATATATATATATATATATATATATATATATATATATTATATATTTGGAATTAGTAAAATTATATGTGTATACTAAAAAATTTATTATGATTCAAACGATTTCGTTAATTTCACTTCCTCAGTGGTATTTATTTTAATTTCTTGATGTTCATTTGTCTTTCGCGCTAAAAGTAAACCGTCTGTCTTTCCAAAACGGCGACGTTATCTCTCTCTTTCTCTTTCCAAGCCGCTTCTCTCCTCTCTAACCCTAACCTACCACGTGTGAGATGAACGTGTAGTTAGTAAAACGATTATTCGCGTTTTCATATAAATTAATACGGGCAAAAATTGTATTTGTACAATTATTAGTGCTTATTAATCAAAGCTACGTCTTTTAAAAGAAAAATGGGAAAAGGTCGGAGAAATAAACCGAAAAAGAACTTCGCTGAAAAACGTCGCGAGAAACAAAAAGTATGGTTAATAATCATTAGTAGCAAAGCTATGATAAAAAAATAAGAAATTATGCTTAAATGAAACTCTGTGTGTGTATAAAAGTTATAATGTAATTTATATACATACAAGCTTATATAATTTTAAAAAGCTTTAATTCTTTTCGTATGTGATTTAACATTCAATAGCAATAATATGCAAATTTTAAGTCATATATTGATGTATATAATTAATAATTAATATCTTTGTAGAAATTATGATGTAATTTATATACACAGGCTTATATATAATTTTAAAACGGCTTTAATTCTTTGCTTATGTGATTTAACATTTGATAGCATAATATGTAAATTTAAAGCCACATATTGATGTATTTAATTAATATATCTTTATAGAAAAAAGAAGAATGGGATAGTACTCCTCATAGAAGTTATGCAGATATTATCAGAGAGAACAAAGATTTTGAGAATTATTACAAGACACAAGGAATAGTTCCGGAGGATAAATGGGACGCATTTATCAGTACTATGAGGACCAATCTGCCAGTTGCTTTTCGCATTACTGGTTCGAAAGCCGAAGCTAAAGCCTTATTGGAGATAATCAAAAGTGATTTCTTTAAAGGAATTTTAAATGCAAATCTGGATGATGATAAGGAAGATGTTAAGAATGAAGTGAAAACTATATTACATAGTCTACCCTTTTATCCGGAGGAGTTGGCATGGCAATTGCAATTAACTAGGAAAGATATTAGACGATCTGAAGCCTATTATAGGTTACATAACTTTCTCATCGCTGAAACTAACAATGGTAGCATCAGCAGACAAGAAGTAGTTAGTATGGTTCCTCCTTTAGTGTTGGATGTCAAGCCTTCGCACAAGGTACTTTTTTCAAAGTTATTGAAATTGTTCACAAGATGGTGAATAGAATATATAACATATGCTACTTTTGTCTGTAGGTTCTTGATATGTGCGCAGCACCAGGATCAAAGACAGTGCAACTTATAGAAATGGTACACGCAGATGAAGGAAATATTCCTCCAGGTAGCTAATAAATTTTGTTAAAAGAAATTCAGTATTGTATATACAAGTAAATGATAAACATTATACTAAATATTTAAATGTTTATTTTAGAGGGTTTTGTAATAGCCAATGATCTTGACAATAATCGCTGCTACATGCTGGTACACCAAGCTAAAAGACTGAATAGTCCAAACATTCTTATTACAAATCATGATTCATCTGTTATGCCCAACTTTATAATTACTAATCCAGATGGTACAAAAGACACATTAAAGTAAGTAATACAAATTCAATAATGAATAAATATCTGTACATTAAGAATTGTGATATAAACTATTTTTCTTTTGATAGATTTGATAGGATACTTGCAGATGTCCCATGTAGTGGTGATGGTACTATGCGAAAAAACCCAGATATATGGTGTAAATGGAGTGCTGCTAATGGCAATAATCTCCATGGGTAACAAGCTTAATCTACTATTATATATATATATATATATATATATATGAATAATAATATAGAATTAATCTCAACTTTTTTACAGAATCCAGTATAGGATAGCAAAACGTGGTTTGGAATTGCTAACAGTTGGAGGTAGAATGGTATATTCTACATGTTCGTTAAATCCAATAGAAAATGAAGCAGTACTTCATAGACTTCTTTGTGAAACTGGCGACTCAGTACAATTAATTGACTGTAGAGACTTGGTACCAGGATTGATATGCGACCCTGGTCAGTTTCAAGATTAACATTATTTAAAATTCTTGTAAAAAAGAATATTTTTGAATCTTTCAAAATGTACTATGTATATAAATATAATAATATATTTTAGGTGTCACACATTGGAAACCAGCATCTAAAAATTTACAATATTATAATACTTGGGACGACGTTCCAGAGCAATGGCAAACACAAGTACGACCGAAAATGTTTCCTCCACAAGCGATCGAGGCTTCGAAATTTCATCTTGAACGTTGGTAAATATCAAATAACAGATAAATTTAATAGAAATTAAAATAAAAATAAAATTGTATATCATATTTGTAAACTACAATTCTTTATTTTGCTAATTATACAGTATGAGAATATTGCCACATCATCAAGATACTGGAGGTTTTTTCGTGGCTGTATTGGAAAAAGTAAAATCTCTGCCATGGGAAAGTGAAGCTCATATATTAAACCAAAACATACAGAATGTAAATGATAATGAAAATGAGGACGAAATCATTCCTAAAGAAGAAAACAAGGATGGAATCATTCCTGAAGAAGAAAACAAGGATGGAACTATTTCTAAAGAAGAAAACAAGGATAAAATCATTCCTAAAGAAGAAACTTCACGTGACGGATTTTCAGAAAGTGGAAAAAGAATATTAGAAGAAGGAAAGAAAACACGAGAATTACAAAGGAAACGAAAAAGGATTGTTGGCTATAGGGAAGATCCATTTGTTTTCTTCAAGGATGCGACGGAAGATGTGTGGCAGTCTATTAAGTGAGTTCTAGTTTTTCTTTTTATTAATATAATTATTTTTTTATATATAATATTATAATATTTATTATAATAACGTTTTCAGAGATTTTTACGGTATATCTGATGAATTGGATCCGCGATGTTTGCTAGTAAGATGTCACGAAGGAAAGAAAAAAAATATTTATTTTACATCGCCGGCAATTCGTGACATAGTGATATCTAACGAAAATAAAGTCAAAATGATTAATACCGGCGTTAAAACTTTTGTGCGATGTGACAATAAAAATATGAAATGCGCCTTTAGACTTGCTCAAGAAGGGATACAGAGTATCGTTCATTACATAAGTGATAACAGAAAACTTCAAATTTCGAAAGAAGATTTAATAATGCTTTTACAAAGTGATAATCCACATACACCACCTGAAATTATAAAATTAAATCCAGATACTCAGGAACGTCTCAAAGATTTCGGTAAATATAATTTTTTTTTTACTTTTATGCAATATACAAATATATATATCTGAAAAATATATTTAATTTTTAAGCAACTGGAAGTTGTATACTGTTATACAAAGAAGAAAAGACTGACAATATAAATCAGTTAAATCTTCAACTGGTAGGATGGAGGGGAATAATGTCTCTCAGAGCTTATGTGCCTACTTGCGACGCATTTCACTATTTACGGCTTTTAGGCGCGGATTGTTCTAAATTTGGTATGCTTTGATATTTAAATACATATGTATAATACAACAGTATTATACTGTCATGGAAGAAGACAATTATTTATATTGTAATTTTACAGAGAAAAACAAATTCAAGGAAAATCGTGCAGCCGCTTTAGTCGAGGACGCCAACAATGATGTCGGAACTGAAGATTAATGAAAAATGTAATAGGAAGTGGTATATAATAACATAGAAGAAAATCAATGACGTCGAGATGGAAATGAATTCTTTACAATGTAATTATAACTTGCCAATTTTTTTAATATTTTACACGCGTCCATTTTGCCGTGTGCTATATTTAAATAAAATATTTGAATTATATTTTTTATTTAACTTAAATATTACTTTGATTTAGTTGAATGTTGATACTAGAATAATGTAATATAAATTATGTTATGAATAAGTTAAATAAGTTAAATAAAAAATATGATTTTGTAGGATAGAAATTTCGACAATGGAATGATGATAAAATGATTACTTTATACTGTATTCATTTTCTATGAAATAACTGTTTTATGAAATTACATATGATAAGCAGCTTTCCATTTTCTATCCCTATTTAATGCATCTTGCCATAATGTATAGTACAAATTTTTTCTTATAAATATGGCCGGATGCGAAGGAATCATTAATTCCGAAATGACTGATGTTCTTATAACATTTGATATCACTACCTTTAATAATTGATGCATCCCTGCACATGCCATGAATATCATGCGATAACGATGCGAGAAGTAATGAATCTGTCAACAATTTCTAATGTTTCTTTTGCCTTGATTTTTAATTGAGTTATATTTTCGTAAATTTGCTTGATATAAGCGTTTCGTCTAAAATTTTAAATATATAAGGATCTTTAACTTACAATTAAAATCTCTCAATATGAATCTCTATCAATAAAGGACGGGTTTTGCCATACAAATCATTCAAATATAGACATACAAATATAAAAAAGGCTGAACAGCTCATAACATATATATAAACTATAAAAAGAAATAAAATAAAAAGTCTTTCTAAGACTTGAATTCTTCTGCTAAGTTCGAGATTGATTCTTGATGCTAGTAATCTCTTCCCGTTGGCGATGTTAATTTGCCACTGAGACTTTGCGAGTTAGATGGTGATTTCGAACCTGAAATTATATAATAGTTTTGAATTTTATTAAAATTTTATAAAACAATTTTTTTATTCTAATATTCTATATACAATTATCATTTCTTTATATTTAAAAAATTTATATATATATGTATGTATGTGTATAAAGTTTCTAAAATAATATAAAATTTTTTAAATATATATATATATATAATACAAACATTCTTGGAGAAAGGAATTTTTATATTTGTCATAAAAATATAGGCTGATATTTTATTATACAATAAATAATAGCTGTTATAAGTTATATATATTATTATAAGTAATGGTATAAATAATGAATCTTTTAAGTTCAAGGTACATCAAGACTTACAGCTTTTTCCAATCTTGCTTCGTGGATTATTTATACACGGATGTTCTCCCATGAGGTGTTCTCTCCATTTATTTTGGTTGACTAAAGCCAAACAAAGAGGACAGCGTTCATATCCTTCTATAGGTTCTAAAACAACAATCAAGAATAATTTCTATCATGTTTGAGTTCTAATATTTGTAATTGTAAATTGATTTCCAGTATTCCAAAAAATATCGAAATAGTAAGAGAGTACACATTTACATACTTGTGCATTTTTTGTCTTGTCTGTGATTTTCAAATGTACTTTCATGAACTGCCTGTTTACATATTTCGCATTTTACGTAATTACTTCTCATATCGCATTCATCTGTAAAAAAAAGAGTTGATAAAATTTTTATTACATATAATATTAATACATATAATTCCATAATGAATGCGAATTATAAATAATGTTGCCAATTCGTTTATTATTAATCGTGTTGTTTATAAAATATTTTCGATTATTAAATTTACTACCACTTTAACATATGGAATTCTCATGTACTTACTTAACAAATGTAGATTTAAATAAGAAATTTCCACGACTTGCTTACATGCTTCACACTTTGTTAACATTGGACAAGTCCTCCAATAATGTATGTTCAAACCTTCTTCAGAATAGACTTGGCCTTTCGACAGGCAAAATATGCACATTCTGATAAATGAAACAGACATCAAAAAATTATATATTTATTGGAAAATAACGTATAAATTTTAATTTGCATCGAACGTACTTATCTCCTTTATGATCAATACTATTCTCGGACGGAGACGTGATACTCGTCGAACTTCCGGTACTTACGACCGGACTCGACCTCGAGGGTGATTTAGTTAAATTAGCTACATTGTTTTCTGTAGATTTAGTTCGCGTAGGCGTCGTTGTTGCTTTATGGGTGGATTCGGCTTCCTTTTTCCTCTGCAATTTATTTCCATACATAAATTCGAAATCTCAATTTTATCTGAACAATTCGGACCTACCTGAAGATCGATCAAATCAAATTCGTGGAAAAGTTGACGATATAACAAATTTCGTCGAGTTATATCATCATCAGGTGGCAATTGCTTTCGTACTAGTCTAGGATTGACTTTGTATACCAACACAAGAATTCTCTCAGAGACCTTTCGCACCGCCTCGGCCGGATGATGCAAACCGGAAGAACCTAATTCGGATAACGTCCGACAAGTCAGCCCGCTACAACAGTTACAATACCTTATCAGAGTAATTGCATTTTAATGATACATGATCTTGAGGAAGGACCTCTGCGAATCGACTAGTTAAAGTTAGAAAGACACTACTTCGAGACAACAGAGGTCCAAGACTCCTCAAAACATTAGGTAATTCTCATGCAGGCTCGAACGTTTTGAGTATATTTTGTTCAGAATCACCTTTGCTTCTCCGTGGAGATGCCGTGGCTCAGTATCAGTTGCTCCACCATTTCTAGTCTGCTGAGAGCTAGCCTTTGATGTGTGCTACTGTTGACCGGCCTAGTTAAATGCACCGGTATTATATGCAGTTCTCGCACACATTTGCAGTCTGCCATACTGAGGATTGTATGCACTGCCATATTGTGTATCCTAGGGGTAGTATCCCCGGACTTTGTCAGGAGTTCCGGCAGCAAACGTTCGACGCTTCTGGCGATCTCAGTCGAAGATACTCTGGATAAATTATGAATAAATTATTAATTGGAAATTAATTATAATACACATGAAATAATGACATCTAATAACAAGAGTTTACCTGTCCACAGCGAACTCAGCAAAGAAGACTCTTATAAGTTGCGCAGCCAAACTATACACGCTGAAGACCTTATCCCTAAGAGCTCTGTGCAACAGTAAAATCGCCGCCCTGGCTGTTTTATTCGGAGAATGCTTCGACACCGCTGGATCGAACGACTTCAGCTCTTCTTTTAATTGCATCAATCCTTCCTCCTTATCCGTAAATTGTTTCGAATAGAATTTCTCCACCTGCGTGCACGCAATCATTATTATTACTCGCCTATTTAGAAATTATGAAAAAAAGCTTTGATGATGTTCCTCTTACCATGTCCATTCCGAAGACCGCGATAGGCAATGCAGCTTGTTTTTTCTCCCTGTCGTTAAGTTTCGAGGTAACTTTAGTCGTCTCTGCGCTATCTAGATGACATTCTCTCGTGAATTCATTTGTATGCGAGCTAAAAAAGATATTTAAATGAAAAATTAGATATTATATCTGTGTGTCGTCGCAATATTTCAACGTTATATTATCTTACTGTCTTAGAGCGGGAATGGTTCTCTCTTCGTAAGCCTCGTAACTTGAGCGAAGAGCCGGACCCGCTGATTTAGTTTTCCGTCTAAGAGATCCCTTGTTACAGTTGCTCTGCTTTTCAAGGACACCATTTGTAGGACTATCGGTTACCTCTGAGAAATTCAAAGATATAAAAATACATCCAAAAATTTAAATTATGTTTAAAGATAGAGAGAATTTCATATATCTTTTAATTAATTATACCAGGACTATTAGTTTTTTGACGTAAAGGCGACACGGGCGGTTGATGTGCAGGACCAGTAGGTGACAAGGCACCATTGCGATTAGGTGGTATAACTAATCTCGGAGGAGATGTGATGTCATCGGACAATGCCGCCGTTTTCGAAGTGCACATATCAGCCGATGTCTGCTCTGCATCCTCCACGGATGACAAATTGTTTTTGTCTACAGGCTAAAACATTTTTCTTTCATTATTATCACCGAACTTTCGCTAGTAAAAAGTTTCGAAAAAGTTACGAACTCTACTTACTCCGTGAACTTCGAGCAAGTTGTATATTTCCAATGATTGATAGACCTGCTGTCTATATTGTTGTGCTTGAGCCTTTTTAGCCTTGGCCTTGTCATAGTCTTCTAAAGCTATAGCATACTTCTTTTCCAATTCATACTTTCCCAGTCGTTCTCCTGCTTTTCTTAAGTTTTCCATTGCCACTTTCAATTTCGAAGCGTATTCGAATCTCTCCTCTTCCACCGCCAATAATTTTTTCGCTTCCATTTGCCTTATGATTTTGGCAACTTCTCGATCGACGTACATTTCAAAAGCTAGATCGTCATAAGGCGAGGTATAATGTGGATTATATGGGGCATCTCCCTGTCCAGTTAGTTCTTGATCGTAGGGTTCCCCAAGTATATTTATAGCAATAAGACCAACCTAATAGAAAAGTCATTTTTACTCCTTTTATTGTAAAGAATTAAGAAGAATATAAATTTATTTTTGTGCACGTTTTTTATCATTCTTCTAAATTAATTTTAGTTTATTTTATTCATTTTTTTTACTGAATCATATTTTTATATTATTTTACAGATAGCTGTCAAAATAAGCTTGTACCTGACAGTAGGTGTTGTGCGCATTACTGTGCGGTTTGTGTAACCTGAGCTTCAATGACAATGCTTCCGTCTCAGGAAGAGCCACGCTTTTCAACTCCCTGCTCTTGTAAAGGGTCGATGCATTATCGGACAGCGTAATGTAGCCCAGGTAAGTGAAGTCCGTCGAAGCGGATGCATTTTCCTCCCTCGATGTCCAGATTTCCAGCTTCTCAGCTACAATTAAAATAAACATGTAATTTTGGGGGGCAATTATTTTCCATAATTTTTATCGGAACAGATTTATATCCGGTTGTAATCTCAGATTGAAAACTGACATGATTCTCTCTTCCCTCTGCAGTTTCATTTCCGGCGGTACTCGGAATAAGCGAACGAAAGAGGAGGAGATGTAGCCTCAGGAAATTATGAGCCAGTAGGCTCGTTAATTCAATTTCCATTGTCGGCAAATTGCTTTTTAGAATGTCATTTTAACAGACAATAGTAACTTATAAATCGTATCTAAAGAGTCTGTTTTTTTAACGTTACGTTTATTTCAATAAGTATTTACATATTATACTTATAACACAATTTACCGACATTTTATTAATAAAATTAATATTTAGCAATATTTTATCTTAAGTAACTGTTAAACTATCGAAATAATAAATAATCAATTCTTTCTCTCTCTTTCTGAAAATTTTTAACATTTTTCAATTGCTTAAAATATTATCAAGAAATTTGCAGAGTCAGCTGCATTTATGTATATATAAAAGTTTTTTTCAATTTATGTTTAAAATTTATTTTGAAATTATTAATTAAAGATTAATATAAAAATTTGTTATTTAAATATCTTATTTTTCAAAAGCTAGATGTGAATAGTTGAATAAACATTTTGTATAGCTTTTTAAAAGGCACACTTACGTATGAGATATTGGTGAGCCAGAACCTGTATCCTTGTAAGTTTTGTGGGTCCATGAAGACGTAAAATCAGTTCCTGAGGATACGTGCAATTTCTTGCACTTTGCCAACCTCTTACTGTTGGCCCGTGAACATTAAGCTCTAATGACGAGTGCCTGTCCTCCTCGCCTAAAAAAAGTAATTTTAAAATACAATTAAAATTCTAAAAAATTATTTAACTTTCTATACTATGAAGAAAATAATACATATTACTCCTGAGCATGTTCTCTGTTATTTTAAGTTTAATTTTAAAGTAAATATATTTTTATCAATTTATATCTTATATATAAATATTATACGACGTATATACTGAATAACAAAAAAATAATCTCATGAGATTAAAATTCAATGAGAAAATTACTCTAGTGCAACTTGATTATCTTGCTTAATAGAGCGAAATAATTAAGCTGCTAAGATTAATAATACTACGATATAATAATAGTTCAAATAACGAGAGTTATAAGCATTCGATCAAAATGTCAATCCAAAGCCAAATGTCGATCGAGCATACCTACTTGAGCTAGTTCTTACTACACGTTACTTAATTATTAATAATACATACTTAGTTGTTGGAAATATATTGTTACTTAGTGTTTAGATATTTTTTTCAAGTGTTTCCCGTTTTCAAAATTTACAATTTTTTATACAAAAAGGAATTGATATTTTATATGCTTTATTTTTTTTAGAACTTCAAAATTCTTTAAAAATCTTTTGAGAAAATAGCACAACATCGTCACGCGATATTGCAGTTTCGTGTGCAATTTATGATTGCATATGTAAGTAGAATGTGTCCAGCAAAATTATTCTATGACCATTTTGCATTTACGAATATATAATATTACTGATATATTTTTGTAATTAATTTAGAAGTACAATAAAACAATTGTTTGCATTGATTAGACCGGAGACACGTGCTTCGTCGCAAATTAAGAGAATTACAAGTTGTCACGATAGAAAAAAATCAATGTATCCGAATACATATATAATGAGAGATGAGCATTAAAACGTGGCGATCTTTTGGCAAATATTTCCCTGTTAAATCGTGTCCAAAATAATTGAAGCGCTGAATATTATATCGACCCAAGCCGTAGAGGGTGAATTTCAGAACATAACGAGGAGAAAGCTTGAAAAATTCTATAATTTTGTTTATAATTGTTCCTGTAAATATTAATTAAATATTCTAGCTAACTTTAACTAATTTTTATGGGATCACGCACAATCGCGAATCACACTATTTCATTTATAATATAACTACTGCACTATCTGGGATATAAAAATAGCGAAACAGCAATTTTTGGATGAAACTATTATATCCACTTATATCCATCTGTTGCAAGTTGAATCTGTGGAATTTAGCTCCTTGTAATATTCAGTCTTTTTCCAATTCTCCTAGGTTAATACATGGTTTATGTCGCAATTCTGAGTCTGGCCGCCTTACTCGTGGCATGGACGACATTGAATCCGACCTTCTTGGGCATGTCGAGGGATGCTGATTGTGACGAACGATAAAGCGAGCGATGAATTAAACGACAGAAATATTATACCACGAGAGGCGCAAATGAACGAACGGGGAGGAACACGGAGGGACACGTCAAAATCGAAAAGGCACAGCCATCTGCAAGCTCGATAAAGGGGGAGCTTGCAAGTTTCGCCCCGGCGCGCAGACCACCCCACTTGCACATCCGGCCGCGGCGAAGCTTGCGATAGAACTGGCTTCGTACCTAGGTAAAACCACCCTCTCTGTATGTCTCTGTTGCTCGGCTTAAGGGATTTTCCTTATGATAAGGCCAGTTAAGGCATGCGTGTATTTGCAAATATATGCGTACACATTGTTTAAATATAACGCAATCAAATATACTATAAATATTGCTATATGATAAATAGATAAGAGGCTTCTGTATGATTGACGAATATTATTTTCCAAGAACAGAGGATGAAAGAATCGACAATTAAAAGTTTAATAGGTTTTCATTTCTTTCGTGAAAGGTCAAGGATTAACTTTGCGATTGAATTGCTTTCTGCTCTTTCCTATTTTTATGATTTTCATTTTCGCGAGGAATAATTCCGAATTAAGAATAAGTCGCCGTTTTTGATCTCGCGGAAACTAAAAATATATATATCGTTTAAAATCCTTAATTGAAATGTAAGTGATCTGTGGAATTTATTTTAGTCTACATTTTTAATAACATCGCTAAGTAAATATATTTGATTTAAAAAGAAATTATAAATTTTTCTTTATTCCTGTCTTCAAGGATAAAAATTAATTTAACAAATAGGTTTTTTTAAACTTATTTTGAAGTTTGAGAACATTATTTTGAAATAATTTATTTTTAATTTTTTATTAAAATTTTTCTATCTAAAAATTTTTCAAGATTTAAATGCGATGTGTATGCGAATTGATTGAGAAAGTTGCAATAATTTGAGAATCCCTGTGACAAATTGACACTTCAATAAAAACTGTTCCGTGTTATAAAGTTTGTTTACTATATATCAATGTCTATCTTAGTTGATCTAGTCTAGTCGCGTCTTACATTCTACTCGAGTCAAACTATAGACTGTAATTTCGTAATGGATCAATAAATGGAGGCTGCGTGACGTCAGAGGGTGCGGCGAGGGTAGACAAGCCCGCAAGAATCGTTATGTACGCACGCTCCTTTTTAGCGTTAGTGGCCACGTGTAGAAGCACGTGCCTTTTTCCAGCTTTATTTTTCTGTGAAAACATTCATTATAAATTGCGTGAAAACATTCGCGTGAATCACCCTACATGTATACACCCTATATATATAGTAACGTGTACATATAAGTCAAATAATTCATTATCAAATCATTCAGATATTTACTAAAGGTTTTAATCAACAATATAGTTTTTTTTTACTTCAGTAATATATTTTAATAATTACAAAATATATCAATAATTATATTTTAATAATTATATTATATTATATTATATTATTATATTTTAATAATTATATTAATGTATACAATTAACTATAGAGAAACATATATTTTATATATATATATATATATATATATATATATATATATATATATATATATAAGTTGCATATTTAGACGCTTACTTAGTATAAACTAAACTAAATATTTAGCTGGAAAGATTATTTAAAAATTTAAATTATTTTATTCCTAAGAGAAAATGCTCAGTTTCACGTAGTAGCAAAAAGATATAAAAGATTCCTTGCAAATTGAAAAATTTCTGTTCCACCAAATTTAGATTGACCATAGACTCTGTCAACAAATGTAATTGGAACTTCTCCTATTGTATAATTGAATTGTCTAGCCTTAATTATCATTTCCATTTGGAATGCATATCCTTTAGACATACAAGATGATACCAACTTTTTCAGTACATCCTTTTTGTAAAGTCTGAAATTAGAAAATCAAAAGGAATACATTAGAATCATTATATATTTCATAATAGAATAGAAGTAAATCAATGGAAAGTTCATTACCTAAAACTACCAGTCAAATCACTTGCACCAGGTCTCAGCAAAATCTGAGTTAGAAAATTTGCACCTCTACTGACTAACTTCCTCTTGAAATCCCAGCCGTAAACACCACCGCCTTGTTTATATCTTGTACCACTAACTATATCTAAATCCAGATATCGTTGCAATTCAACCATTTTTGGAATAAATTTTGGCTGGAAAAATAAAGATTTTCTTAAAAAAATATGCTTAACAATACTAAATCTTGCTCTAATTATTTATCAATATAAGACATACATGATGGGACAAATCAGAATCCATGATGACAATAAAGTTTCCTGTTGCATATTTCATTCCATGCACGTAAGCAGTTCCCAATCCCAATTTTTTCTCTCTGGGCTTTAAAACTATTTTATCCTCTCCATAAAGTCGTTGCAGCTGTTTAGCCATATCCAAAGTACCATCTGGTGAACCATCATCTATCACGATTATTTCGTAGGCGAGCTCGCTGTAATATTTTAAATTAACGTTTAATAATTATATTTATTTTGGGTTTTAAATTTATTTATATGCTTATCTATTTATTTTTTATTAATCGTATTATTAATCGATTTAAGGTTATGCAATTACCTCTCTTCCATATATTTCACAATAAGCCATATTATTATCGGTAAATTCTCCACTTCATTATAGGTAGGAAGTAGAATTGAATACTTATCATTTTTGCACAATTCTTTTGTGTCCCTTTTCACCTGATCTTTATTTACCATTTTCACACATTTGCCGACTATTTTTTAAAAATACTGCTGCTACAACGCAAGCAATTTTTAACAGGTGGTCACACTGATTTAGCATGTAAGAGTTGCGTTCGAAAATTATACTCGTTGGACAAGTAACATCTAATTGACCAATCAGGAGTAACGCTCTCTTTATCCTAATTGGTCAGTTAAAAACTTCACTTTATTAGTAACATTTCTGAACACACTCTGAGGCGCGCGTATCGATCGCAGCGACATCTTACTCATTTTCAAATTTGTGACTCTCGCGAGAAGAAGCTGCTCTGCGTGCAAGGTATTATTTACTTTTTTATGTATTCTTTTGAAGAACTTTCATTGTTTAGGATTATAATATGTTAAAGTTATAAACAAAAATGTATCTTATCCAATTTTTGAAGCTGTTAAGCAAGTGTAATCAATATAAGTAATGTTGAATGATGCATGGTGTAATTAGTATAAATATGTATATTATAATAATATGGCGCGAAATTGGCACAAGATAGCTGCATGCATCTTGTTTCTGAAGATACATAACATATTTTAACACGATGTGTGTTACAAATAAAATATAAATAAAAACCGAAAAGAACACAGCTGTTTGAAATAAAATATTTACGATGCGATTTTTTGTACATGGCATAACATATATTTTATACTTCATCGTTAGTCAGAATAATGAAAAGTACTAGTCAAACGCGTAATTAGGATGTAATTATATAGATTCATCAAAGTATAATATTGAACAAATCTTTAGAAAAATAACAAAAGTTTTTTATAGAGATGTTTTAATAAAAAAAAATAGACTAAAAGACATTTAATGAAATATCTATATTTTATACATATTACGTAATATTTTAATATATTTATTTTTATCTTTATTTTTTTATACTTTGTGTAACTCATTAACTTTATTATTATTGTGAATTTTTTTCAGCTTTATAAATATTATCGCCGTAATAAGTATATTATATGCATGTGCAAGTATTCCGCACATATTCGCGACGATGCGGTTACGTGCACATGTTCACACACATACACGCATACATTCGCATACAAATATACATATTTCATATATATTTGGTCCATTGGCCGTTTCCGCTACGTGCGACAAAGGTCGACTAACCGATAGTGCCGGATGAATAATTTTTGACACCCTGGGCAAAATAATTGGGGGATAAACTTTTATATGAATTAGTCTCAGGCGAATAATCCAAATATGTAATTATCATATATATAATAAATATGTCCACAAATATTTAAAAAAAAAAACATAATTAACTTTTTTACATTAATTTTTTAATAAAATAATAAAGAAAAAAATAAATAAAAGATATCCAATCAAATAAATAATAAAATTATTTGATCATGTCTATTTTATATTCATTGTATAATTTATTTAAATTTTACGTATGCATTTAATAAATAAACATACATTACACGTAGAATATTGTTTCAAATTTCAAATTTTCATATTTTTTGTGAAAAAGAGGGAGAAGAAGTCTCGAACTTATATATTTATCCCGAAGTCCATGCTAATTTTTTCTTTTTACAACAAAGGGTGAAATTTTCTGAACAATCCCGCCTACACGGCCCTGCACCCTCCAGTCCGCGGAACAGCATGAGTTCACACCGCCTGTCCCCACCATCGTCAACCTCGAGATAGCCGAGGAGCAGCCGCCGAAGCAGAAGCAAACGACGCCGCACTCTACGGTCGGTCGTTCACGGAGTCGGAGTGCTTGTTTCTCCGCTCCGATCGGTGTATAATCGGCGTGCATCTGTGCATCTGCGAATTTGAATCTACGATAGTGTCGGTATGTAAATCAGCGTCGCGCAAAATTTTTCCCGCCGATTCTCGAGGCGAAATAAAGCGCGCGACAAAAAGAAACGAGCCGATTTTCCGAAATCGCTCGTAGGTGTGTGTCTGCGTGTGTATATGGTGGAATATATCAGCAGTGATTGTGTTCTGTGTGTATGTGCGATCTGTGAATGATTTAAAATGCCTCCTTGCTTGGCCTTCGCTCGGATGCTGAGAATTTGGAAAGACGCGATCGCCGATGGTCGCTGAACCTCGATGGTCGTTTTTGAGATCATTAATTAAGAGAGTAATCTTTGAGAATAATTTCTGTGTCGATCAATTTGCGAGAAAAATAAATTTTCAATTAAGAAGATTTAGGGCAATGATATTTCGTACGCGTTTTCATGTATATGTTAATCGTTTTCTCACTTGAAAGACTTAGCTGCGGGAGTCTGCGTGGATTCTTTTTTATCCGGTCCTCTGCGTCTCATATGGTCGTAAAATTTTTTATCTCAATGCAGCAGGAAATTCTTTCGACGAAACCAATTCTTTCTCTCATCGTTCTCAATTTTTTCGCGCAGAGAAGATCAGCCGTTCATTATAGAGCGAGTTTATGCGACTCGTCTTTTTTCGGAGCAACAAAATATTATTTCCGAATAATGAATGAATCGCGATCTGTTTTTTTTTTTTTTAAATTTTTAGTTATTAATTTCCTTAATTGTATTCTCGATTTTGTGGCCCGCTACATGTACATCGAATTCCATGATGTAACGACAATGACATATGTAGGTGCTGGCGTCATGTTTCGATTTTGCGATTTGATGAATTTCCGCGACAGACATACCGGTTGTCATATCAAGCCGAACAATAATTTGGAGCTTTGTTGTGAATTCTTTACGAGGCGCGTGAGAAAGTGGTGCGAATTTAGTGGGGATCCACGTACGCACCACCGTGGCTAGCTCCGAGTTCCGGATGGCAGCATGGCGCACACCGTCGCGAGGGGTAGATTGAACCGCTCCGCACCCTGCGATCAATAAACTCGCCCCGAGAGGGAGCAGCCCCGTGACGAGCCGTTCAACTCTCCGCCACATTTTGTCTCCCTTCTCCCTTCTATATCTTTTCATCCCCTCTCGCGATCGCTTCCTCCCCGACCTCCTTCCCCCCTGTTCTCCACTTACTCGATTTTCTTCAGCCGTAACCCTTGCTATCAGCGATTCAGCACGTGCATTTCTATTCCGTTTCGCAACGAGATAGCGCTTTCGCGTTCTGCTACAGATTATCGCGAATCAGCGAACGCCAAATAGACTCCTGGCTTTTCTTTCGCTTTTTTAAATCACCATCTGTTCTTACGAAGCGTCATTATTGCGGGGAGAGCAAGTTGTAGGAAATATATTTCGCGGTTTTTTATATTAGACATTATTTTTAATTATTGAAATTTATTTCAATTTTATTTTGAATTATAAAATGCAATTAAAGTCAGAATCAGAATCAGCGGATGCCAAACAGACTCCTGGCTTTTCTTTCGCTTTTTTAAATCACCATCTGTTATTACGAAGCGTCATTATTGCGGGGAAAGCAAGTTGTAGGAAATATATTTCGCGGTTTTTTATATTAGACATTATTTTTAATTATTGAAATTTATTTCAATTTTATTTTGAATTATAAAGTGCAATTAAAGTCAGAATCAGAATCAGCGGATGCCAAAGAGACTCTTGGCTTTTCTTTCGCTTTTTTTAATCATTATCTGTTCTTACGAAGCGTCATTATTGCGGAGAGAGCAAGTTGTAGAAAATATATTTCGCGATTCTTTATATTAGACATTATTTTTAATTATTGAAATTTATTTCAATTTTATTTTGAATTATAATGTGCAATTAGAAAAAGATTACGATATTGTTAACGAGATTAGTCCAGAATAACATTTTTTGAAAACCCTTGAAAGAATAGGTGATAATAAAGATTAGATAACTAGTTAGATAAAAGATTAGATAAAAGAAGCTCTTCAATTTTTTATCATTTAATTACGCACAGTAACAAGTTATTTAATCATAATCAAGTTTTTTAATCATTTAAGTACACACGATTCATACACACTAACAAATTATTTTCTTTCCTTTTAAACATGTAATTTTTGCCACGTGATTGACACAAGAGAGAATTCACAGACATCTAAAATCAAAATTTATTAATATATCAGACAAATTTTTTGATAGAATAGAAAAATTGTTAAATAATAATTAGTTAGTTTTGAAATATAAATCTTGTTATTCTTTCAAATCATATGATTATGGTTTCTACAAGCACACAAAGAACGACCGATTACACGACACTTTGGAAGTCGTAAAGATTAGCCTACGTGAGTTCTTTAATACATGTTTAAATGTCGCACGCGTTGAAAGCGATAGTGTCTGTAATAGTTATCAACCAAACAACACGTGAAATTAAATAGAAATTTTTAGCCGTAAATTTATCTGTCAAATTTTAGCGTTTTATATAGTTTAATAATTAAATATAATAAATATTTTAAAAAAATTTTTATTAGAATAAAATACCATCGAGGCAAACTATCGGCGATTGTCAATGAACATATTGTTCAATCAGTGTGATTTTCTGTGAAATCAGGTGAAAATCGTAAAAAGAGAGAAGAGTGCTCTCGGAAGAAACGAGATAAGGATGTGGCGAGAACATCCAGGCGGAGGGTATAAGATACCCGTCAACATCATCGCAATGTTTCTGTTAACTGCTGTCCTGGCATTGACAACTGGTGAGTCAACATTGAATTAAAAGATCTTATTCACACTGAATTCTTAGCGTGACTTGGCAATAATTACCGAGAAACATTGATGGATGTCGGTCGTGCGACTTGCATCAAAGAACGAAAAAAATGCTTATACGAGAAAGACAGGCCATGACTTTTGTACATAAAATTTTCACAAAGCTATACGAGTTTTAAACAAGTGCATAAGTCGCACATTGAATATTACCGCGATTTCTGACATGCTTCAGAGTTGTTTCTTATGTATAAGTTATCTATTTAACATACATTTGAATATATCACTACAGCATCTTGTAAAACATGCATCTCAGCGTATCAAACTGCTTTGTCAGCTGACGCTCCGTTCTCCATAATACGCGTGCTTAGTACATGATATTATATCTCTAAATGTTCTTTATTATTAGGAAAATTATATAATAGAAAACATTTAGTCTTTAACAAAAAATTTATAAATTAATAATATTAATTTCCCACTACCACATATACACACACATGTGCATATAGAGGTATATATATACATATATCGCACACATATATTTGAATTTGCATTGCAGGTAATTTCCAAAAGACACGTTGAAAAAAGATAAAAAATTATTATTTTTGAAATTTTGAATTTTTTTACATATATGTTTGATTTTATTAATTTTGTTTGATGAGAGCTCAAGATTATAAATATTTATAATCTTTTTTTAAATTTGCCAATCGATCGATTAACAAATTCGCGAATATTCAAAATATAGATGCCACCTACATTTCATCAAATAGGTAAAATTCTCTGTTAAAGTATGAATAAGGATTCGCTTAATAGACTGATTCACCTGGTGGCGAACATTCGCGATCGAATGCAGTTCTCTCCAAAGCATGATGTGAGCCTGCATTCTGAGAACAGCAGCTGTTCCTTTCCCTTGATCTCCTCATCCCCTTCATCTTAGTCTTCCCGCCGGCAGCTGCGCCTCGTGATTCGCTCGTACCTATACTCAGGACCTTTCACGGTCCCAACTAACCGCCTGTTAGGTTCAAAATACGCGGATGTGAGATCATGTTAAAAAAAGCAGCAGCGCGGACCGTTATAGTAGATCACAAAGAAGAACAAAAATCCTAAAATAATTTTTTTAAAAATTCGCGGTAATCTGAGACAATTTTATAATTATATTTTTGAAATGTCAATCTTATTGTTTGCTTTTACACTCAATAAAAAAGAATATAAATAAAATTTAAATAATTTTTTAACATGTTTTTTTGAAAATATCTGCAATGCGAAATAAAATTCAAATAATTATGTTAAAAAAAGCAGCAGCACAGATGATAGTGAATCACGAAGAATAAAAGCAAAAATCATAAATTAATTATTTAAAAATCGTGGTAATCCTATTTTAAATTATTGTTTTCCTTTAAATAAAAAACAAAATTAATAAAATCAAACATATGTAAAAGATTTTAAATTTTGATACAACCGAATGAGATGCTGATTATAAATATAAGTCATAATAAAAAATTTGACTGTCAGACTATATTATATACACATTAATAAGTAGATTTTAATATAACATTATTTGTTAAATTTTAATAATCATTGTATTGAAAATCAGCTGCATTATCTATTCGGACCAGAAGAAACCATGCTTAAAGAAACATTTGTTATTTTGGTATCTAACAGGAAGTCTTAGAAATAGACGCAGTAATAGAAGCCGTATAAGATCCGAAGAGTCTGAGTTTTATAAGAATTTCTTCAGACTTTATCTGCCTACGCGAAAATATTATGTCCACCTTCGCAATTATCAATGAAGTGTTAATAAAATATTATAATTTTAATAATTATGTAGCAAAAACGCAGTATCTTTTATTTTAAAATTTTTTGACGAAAAATTAGAAAATATATGTAAGAAAACACATGAAAACTAAATTTATGAGAATTAAATTTATATTAATTAAATTAAATTGTATTAATTAAATTGCATTTGAATTGATTAAATTAAATTTAAATTTAATTATATTTGTTTTTCTAGCATTTTCATCCGATTAAAAATAATTAATTATAACAGATCATAATAACAAAATTTGAGCAAAAATAAATATATACGAATCTATTAAAAATTATTTTTTTTATGTCTCTATATATAAGAAATTTTAGACTAATAAAAATCAAAGCAAAAGTTCCATCAAAAGATTGCTCAAACGACTTTATGATTTCGAAATATTTCTCATTATTATGCATGTCACAGTGTCTTACACTTCGACACATACAGGCGCGAATAAGTATGAATACACACGTGAGTCGCACGTGCGCATGTGTGCGTGCTGGAAATATATTCGATGCAGCGTGTCCGGACGTTTCAAAGCTATCTCTATATATAGATTACAGAGCGGTTGTCGACCGAGAAGAATCTCGTCTTTCATCGGAGATGCATAAGAGTTCAATCTAAGAAAAAATTTTTACAATATACTTTTGCGACCGATATCCGTCCATATACAACGTGTACTACGATATAGCCACAATAATACTGTGAGCTATTATCACTCCGTGTTTGTGTCGCATGAATAACGCAATCCTTGGATTATAAATTTAAAATGACCATTGAAACGTCTTGTAAGCAATTAATCATTATAATATTAATTTAATCCTTTTGACACTTTTGGTACCTGATGCTATTATAACGTTTAAATGTCGTCTAGCTTAACATAAAGATACTTAAGACAAAAAAAAAAGAAAAATATTCGATCCAAAAGAAAAATAAAAATATAAGCTATACTTATATATCTTTCATGAAAAGTAGTAAAAAACGTGTGATACTTTATTCATTTCCGTATTCTATTTAATCTATCTGTTACAATTGAATGCAACTCTACTCAAGGAAAGTTACAATTGGCATGAATTGCAAATGAAATGGATCGCATGCAAACGTAGAAAGCGCGAGATAAGGACAAAAACGATAAAATTGCGAGCTGAAGTTTGAGTAACAGAGATAGCGTAGATGTACAAAAATTCTGAACACCTGTTCCTTATACCTGTGTATGTTTCTCGTCTTTCACTTCAACGGCGCACGCTTCGCCCAACCGGTTCTTCGTGACTTGATTTTATGCTGCAGGTTTTATTTGCTCTCGCTTTATTGCAGCCGTCGTCGTAGGTGAATCAGTAGGTGGTTATATGGGAGGAAAGTAGCACGGTAAACTGTATAAATTTTGAACAACAAAACGAGCGACTTGCATGACTAATAATTACTTATTTACATTCGCTACAACTTGTTGCAAAGATGTTGCAGTTAATTATTTTTATAGATAAAGAAATAAAGATCGTGAGAAATTTTTTCTCTGAGATAAACCACAAAAATCCTAATTAGATAAATAAAAAATACCATTATTTTTATGTTATATTGAAATTACAAATAAAATTGCACAATTATTTTAAAAATTATTTCCTATAGTTCATAATATTACAACATTCTTTTTTATTAAATATAATGTGTAGGGTTTATGCATTTGCAATAAGTTTACAATAAATGTGTGTCAATACATAATTTTCTATTGACGGAAATATTGTTGCTATCGATGATACTAGCAAAAACCAAGGGCGCAACTCTTTATGACGGAAAAGGAATCACGCATTGTCGTCTCCCTTATGCTCTCGTGACGTTGATCGCATATTATTCAATAACAGGTCCGACAACCTGTTGTTTGCTGCAATTGGCAACGCGCCAATTGAATGTGGGTGTCGCATATCCTGGTTGAAATGGATGATAAGCGAAACTCGAAGACACGAGACAAAAGGTCTCATCGTTTGCGATGCTTTAAATTAATTGACTTCCACTAAAATTCTCACAAGTTATTAAGTGTTTCTCATATTTTGTTCTGTTTACAGAGCATTTCCTCTTTATTGCTAAAGCACTATAACTTTTGATCTAAATTGATCATTATTATATTTAGAAACATTATTTAAAGTCTTGGCATGTCATCTTTAAAATTATGTATTATTTGAAAAATTAATAAAACAAGCGACATTTATCTTGGAAATATTATAATTACAGAAATCTTTTTAAATTTAATAGATTGAAATTTATAATCTTTCCAAAATTCTGCATAAAATTGATGGAAATATTTACATTCTGTTTGCAGTTGTTTCGGCTGAAGATGTATCCATGGGACCGGTGTTTGTCAAGGAACCCCCAAATCGAGTCGATTTCTCAAACGGAACTGGAGCCGTTGTCGAATGTCAGGCAAGAGGAAACCCTCAACCGGATATCATCTGGGTTCGCTCTGATGGAACTGCTGTAGGAGATGTTCCTGGGCTGAGACAGGTGATTATATCAAGTTTTTGACTTATTTTCTTTGTTTGAAAATACAGTAGTATAATCTCCAAAATTAAATTTTATTTACGATCAATTTTAAATTAAATTATGTTCCATTTGTTAAACTTCTGATTAATGTTAGCAATGGATATTTTCAATTAAAAAGTAGGCTTTTTAATAATTAAAAGTAAACTTTTTTACATGTAGGATGATGAATTTCTTTTAAATAGTCGCTAACTAGCCATTTTAATATCAAATATTTTTCTGTATTGTGTGAATGAAATCATTAAACACTCGTGCCTTTCTACATTCATTCACGCGATCATGAAAAACGCGTTAATTATTTCCGATTTTACTACATGAATGAGTTTAGACTATTATATGATTATTGGTCCCCCTCGTAGGTTTTGCCAAACGGAAATTTGGTATTCCCTCCTTTCCGCGCTGAGGATTATCGTCAGGAAGTTCATGCTCAGGTCTACAGCTGTTTGGCACGTTCCCCCGCAGGTTCGGTACACAGCCGCGATGTCAACGTGCGAGCTGGTGAGTGTCATTTTAATATTTATCTATTAAATAATTATCGTTTAGCCATCTACAATAATTTATAGCAAATGTTCCAGAAAAGCGTAGTAATTCTAATTTTAATTTTAATAAATTATCTGACAAATTATATATATATATATATATACAATTAATTTCTGAGAGAAAAAGATTTACTTTCTTTATATTTCATATTAAAATACATGTGTATGCGCAGATAATTAAATCTGCAATTAAAAATGTGAAAAAAGATAGAAACAATTTGTTGAATTTTTAAAATTGAATGCAATTTGATAACTGTTATTAAAATTAAGGTCAATGGTATTATATGTGTGAAAATATTTTATATGGTAAAATTAAATTGTTTTTTTAGCAATTTTTAATCAATCGCTATTCAAAATCTTTAGAAATAAGTAAATAGAATCCTAAAAAGCAAATTTGTATTAAATTTTCAAATTTAATTTAAATTCAAGTTTATAGTAATTCTAAATGTTAGAAATTGTTTTTATCAATTTCTTATTTGAAAATAATGATAATATTTAAAGTTAGAGTAATATGGTAGGAATATAAGATGGCTAAACATAGGAAAATTTAAAAGGTATTATTTTCAGCTAAGCTGGCTATTAGCTGATTATTAGCTGGCTAATCGTGACATATTTTATCGTATGTTTCTTCCACGTTTATTCGACGTTATTTTTTGGAAGAACTTTAATTTTTAAAAGACATTGTCTATCAAATAATCATATAATTCGATTAATAATATTCGATCAAAATGCTACATTGTATTGCTCTTTTAAACATCTTACAATCTCTGCCGCCGCCGTTTATGCGAATGTTAGATTCGTTCTCCAGTTTCAATTTGTTTGCAAGTAATCAGGAAATTACTTTTTACGACCGATGTAATCACATTTCTACGTGATCTCATTACATTTCTTGCGAAATTGAAAATACTTCTTCATATGCAGTGAATCACATGCAGTGATGTCATTAGATCTGACGTCACGTCGGCTTATCGACCAACACAGTTTTCAGTAACATCTATGTCTCTTATTAATTAAAAATAAAATGTATATACAATAACATATATAATTTATATATGTATTATATATAATATATATGATATAAAAATATTATTTGCAGAGTGATACGTTTTATTTAAATTATATTTCTTGATGAGAGTATAATAACAATTATTTAGCAACTAGTTATTTATTTAATAATATTAAGAGTTAAATATATATATTGTAATTATAAATATAATAAAAAAAGAGAGAGAACAAATTTTTTTAATAATATTTCTATAGTAATTAGATTGAATTTTGAAAAAAATATTTGCTTCAAAAAATATATTTGGGAGATTCTTGTAGACTTTTATTGAGGCTGGAGCGAAACACGTGTTCGACACATTGTGAACGTTATTTTCTGTAAAATTATAGTGGTGGCGCAGTATTATGACACTGATGTCAATAAGGAATACGCGATTCGTGGGAACAGTGCCATTTTGAAGTGTGTCGTTCCCTCTTTCGTCGCCGATTTCGTCAAAGTTCTATCCTGGCACACAGATCAGGGAGAGGAATTCGTACCTGGCGATGACTTTGGTATCATTTGATGCATTCAATCAGTGAACTCAAATCGATCTCCTTATATTTTTGCGGGCAGAAAATTTCGTTGTTGCATCTTTGAAGGGACAAAATGATTCATGACATGAATTTGAACAGCTATTACGATTCATTATGATTTTATAATCGTAATTTTTAAAAGGTAGAAAATTCTATAATAATATAAAAGCCTTGCACAGACATGATTTAAAAGTGCATTTTTGAAAAAAAAGAAAAATATAATAAAATTATTGCAATGTCGTTGGAATTATATCGACATTATTTCAATTGATTTACGCTCATCACAGAGGCAATTAAGAAATAATGTCATTATTCGCTCGTATGTTCCACTTCGAGGCCACAAATGCATCGTGTCGTTCGGTTAAATAACTGACACCATCCGTGTGACTCGGCCGCTTCTCATATATTGATCTCAATTGCCACGGTGGCGAAATGCAAACCCATTTGGAACGCGAAAGTATATGGGTCGCTCACTTTCCACTTCCACGGTCAACACGTACAAACGCAAGCATCGTCATTCGTCTCGTTAAAGTTATTCCCAATTCGATATATCTAACGCGTTACCAGAAACAATCGGATATTTGATCGATGTGTCTGCTATCTCTCTTGTTTTCCTATTAAACCACACGAATATTTGTTTCTGGCGCGACATCTGTTTTAAATGCATCAGTTTGTTTAAATTTAAATAATATTTACTTTAGTCTCGTCATTTAGGGAATCGATAGTATATATAGCATAATGCTAAAATTTAATTTAGTTTTGTTATAATAATAATAATATAAATAAATATTTTTATAGTAAAATATCTTATAAATTAATTTTTCACTACAACATATATACGTGCATTTATTAATTAATTACTTATAAAATTATAAAGCATTTTAGTATGTCACTTAAGGCCATTGTAATGCAGGCAGTTCAATTTTCTGAAACGCTATATTGATCAATATAAGCGTAAATGTATCGGGGTTGAACATCAATCGATCCTATACCCTCACGACGCCCGGTTGTCGGCGACTGCAATATAAGATGCGACAACGCGGACTATTCTGCTCGCAAAAAGATGGCAAAATGTATCACCCAAAGCTGTCGTCAACGTCGTTTCATTCGGTTTGAATGAAAAATTAATTTCTTGCGCGCGCGCGTATTAAAAGTATCATCTGTCATCGATATACATATATATCTTTGCATTGAAAAATTACATTTTTAATCGAGCAGTTTCAAGCAGAGTCGTCATAAAATAGAAAAAAGGAATATTTTGATAAATGTGCATTTGCAATCATTGGAAACTAAAATGGACACACAAGTGGACGCTTATCGCGCAAAACGGCAGAAACGAGCACGCACAGATTATTTCGCCCGTTCATTGCAGTGGTGCATCAGTATTATCAGTCCGAAGTCAACAATGAATACGTAATACGCGGCAACGCGGCCATTCTCAAGTGCAGTATACCAAGTTTTGTCGCGGAGTTCGTTCAAGTCGTTGGTTGGCAGGACGATCAGGGGAACTCTTTCGATCCGGATCAGAGCAATGGTATACAATCCGAGATTTTTAGGATATTTAGGGAAGTCGAAACACGCGTGGGCAGCGAATGATAAATTAGTCAACGTCGTCGATAACGTTTTCTACGTAACAGATTTTTCTTTGTCGCAAATCTCGATATTTCATTTGAATTGATTAGAAGTTCAGGTGAAAGGAAACAACTTGAGACATATTAAATTTATTATTTCTATCTTGATATTTTAATGTGATTGGAAAGCTTCTACACGTATTAGAGTGTTTAACGTTTTATTTAAGGACGCTATATGTAACTGCTGTAATTTCTTAGGTACTCTAAATCCGCGAGTCCTCTATTTATTACCTAAGAACCAGTTTGCGCAATTACATAGCACAGTGGAGCATCAAATTGTATAATGTTAGGTGTTAGGCTGCAATAGATTGCGATCTCTTTGATCGCCTAATTTCCTTCGGAGAAATTCGGTTCATTTTTACGAAATGATTAAATCAACGCGCATAACAAGATATTGTCTTACTGACTCTACAATGACTTGCGCATCATAATTATTGAAGAATGTTGCAGCGTCTCGAGCCGAGAAAATTGATTCTCCTCGATTAAGCACGCCGACAACGCAACTCGATGCGATGTTAGGAAGTGTGCGATGCGCGATATAGTTACACAATGCGCCATTATAATATTATCTTTGCCATTATCTTTCGCAGTCGTGACTCAATATTACGAGGCGGAAGTTGTATCGGAGTATGTAATACGTGGAAATGCGGCTATTTTGAAATGCACCATACCGAGCTTCGTCGCCGAATTTGTATCGGTCGAATCGTGGGTGGGAAGCGACGGCTCAACCTTCAAATCATCTACTGATTATGGTATAGCACATGTTTCCGTCCATTCATTATACTTATTATTTTATCTTCCCAGAGAAAAATTCCTTCCTAAGAGAGAGATAACATGCCGGAAAGAGAGAGATGTTATGCAATTTTATTCATCATGAGGAAGATAATACTGATTATTTTTATTAATTTAATGAAATATAGAATGATAAAAAACTACTATAATTTTTGCTAGAATTCTGAAAAAAGATTAGCAACTAAAAATTCTTTTATTCGTCATAATATATATTATCCTTTTTTTAATAATTATTTAATACACGACATAACGCGGTCATTCTCTAAAATAATTCTAACATTAAGGTAAATTCTTTTCCTCATTTGAAAATAGTTTGTGTCATATATATGTTTTCTGCAAATTAATTAATTACTTGAAAGCATCTTGATTAATTAAATGTGTAGGCGTTGCACAATTTGTGTCATGACTATTATGTCTGATGAACATGTCAGCCGATAAATATACATATAATGAATACACAGGGCGAGGAAATTCTCTTTCCGGTCATATCACCCTCTGTGTCCATGCTACTCAGACACCTCGTCCCCTTGTCCAACTTTGTCAAAGTTCAAAGTGGCACGTGGTAACGATTCGTTTCCGCCGGCCGCGCGGTCTGATAATCTGACAGCGGCTGTGAACGGCGGTGGCAGTACATACATACATGAAGGTTAATGAACTATCCGGTGACTCTCTCTCACGCCGCGAATTACGACAGGACTAAGAAAATAAGCCGACATCGTATTCACGACGAGCGCGAAAGTTTCGGGAAGCTTAGCCGAGAAGCTGCGCTGGGGAACATTTTAGACTGAATTACGCAAAAATGTATGAAAGAAGGAAAAAATATTTTTTTGAAATTGTTGCTTTTTATTTTTTGTGACTGCATTATCGTGATTTATTACGGCCGTTCCGCATGAAATTTTCATGAGGCACGGAAATACAAAAGATTGCAAACAGTTTCTTCTGCATTTTTTTAATGTTACTGGTTACTTTTAATAACTTATTGGTACACCGTGATATTTTTAATTAACAGTTTGAATTTTTTTATCCATGAATAAGCGACAAATCAAATATTTAATTATATCTTTTTATGGTCCATTTGTGCAAATTTCTTTTCCATCTACAAATAATATGACAAATTAAGAATAACGAATGAAAAAATAAAAGATTTATTTTGCATAAGCTATATTTAAACGTCTAGATTATTTTTGACGTCTTTTATGCGATATTATTAGTTTTATTGAATAGTTGTTTACTTTAATTTGCAATCTCCACATAGTCGTCACTCAGCCTTACAATCCGGAGATATTGACCGAATATGTTATACGAGGAAACAGCGCGATCTTAAAATGCAGCATTCCCAGTTACATCGCAGAATTCGTTACTGTCGAGGCATGGATTCGCGAAGATGGAGAGGTTTACCTTCCGGAGGATCCTGCAGTCGTACAGGGTACTGCAGATCCATCCTCAATTATTTTAGGCATTTCACCAAAAATTTGTATATGAATTAATACATGTTAAATATTAATTTTACACAATAAATTAGATTTGTTGTGATAATTATTTTAATAGAAAAGGTAATGAAAGAATGATTCGAGAATTTAAAATGCTAGAGTTGTTTAATTTAATTTCTTAAAAACTTGAAAAAAATTGATCTTATCTCAAAATTAATAAAATTAAATTCAGATGAACTTTTTTGGTTCTTCAGAAAATAAATTATACGCATTGCGTTTAATTTTTTTCTTTGACTAATCATATGCAAATTTGTTGTGAAAGACGTCAATCGCTTTGTGTCCATAACATATGTCAATAACCAAAATAATATATTCACACTTTCTCTTACAATCCTATTGCGAGATTTATGCAGTACATATTTTATTGTCCATGAGCTTTAACTCCTTGAGAAATATGCATTTTTATAAAAGTGCAAAAATTGATAACTATACCATGCGATGTCTTCTATAAAAGAGATAAGAAAAAAATATTTTGAATTTTTGTTTCATATACAATTTATGAATGAATTCTGTCATCATTATGCAACAAGAAACCTGTATAGATGGTCGAATTATCGAAGAATGTTTCATTTTTCTCCGCGTTTGAAAGAATTAACACATTGTCCGCGCCGGCAGTCGTTTCGCAGTTCTACGTCACCGAGGCCGAGAATGAGTACGTGATCCGGGCTAACAGCGCGATCATGAAATGCAAAATACCGAGCTTTGTATCCGAGTTCGTCCAGGTGGATCAGTGGGTGGCCGACGATGGGACGATTTACATGCCCGGACAGGAATACGGTATGATGCCGGTCGACGCCGATGTAGTATGCGTTGTTGTGACACTCGGAACAATTTCTCTCTGTATTCTCTTTTTTTCCTCCGTATTCTCATTTCCCTCCCTCGAATGAATTCGCGCGCACTTTCTTCTCATTCGCCCCCCGACAACAGCTGTCGGCTGCAGCACGCGGTTATTCCGGACTTTTACTTTCGAATCTGCTAGTTCAGTCTAGTATAATTGATGAGAAAGAATTGCGTTTATAGGCAAGTAAATACGGTACAAACGTCGAGATGGACATGTAAGAGATTA